ATGTTAGTGTTTGGCCGAGTTTCTCCTCCGGCGTGCGCCTTGATGTTGCCACACAAAGTGGAGGTGCCTACAGTTATACGCCGATTCTGAACGGCGCACAGTGTGCCCTTTTTCAATTTTGGCGTGCCAAAAGTCGTAACTTACAAATGGATGTACCTATGATATTGATGTTACGTCAATACGGTGTTACGCCAAGGAAAAAGTCAGATAAATCCACACTTTGGGACAACCAGTTGGAGTGCAGCTGCCGAAAAAGGGAATTCACATGAAAGCAGCGGCCCCATTTTAAACGAAATTGACAACAGATCTTACCGATAAACTCTTTTAATCTTTCATGGTCAATGTTCCCTCCCACCTTATCCAAAATTTATTTCATTACAGCACCATTATTATCATCTTTTTTGCCTTTAAGCCACTTTAAGCCATGTTTATTAATGAAAATCAAAAAATTGTGCCGACTTATGCAAAAAGTGCTTACGAAATCTATATTAGAAATATTCCTTATTAGTTTGCACATAAACACCAGATTAGATGAAGTTAGATTCGAAAGATCTGTTCCAGTAAAATTCTTAATGTTTTCACAATTACTTACTTTTTGGAATATTTTTTGTTTAAATATATAGAAAACTATTAGTCTTCACTACACCTTGGTAACGTACCACGCATAAATAATTATTTTAAAATAACTTCGCAAAAAAAGTACTGCCACTTTAAAGTATGCGAAAAACTTCACGCTAAAAAAATAACATTTTTACGCGTCACAATGAGCAACGTTTGACACCGATTATTTTTGTTGTTGTTGCCTTTTCTTCAGCCAGAATGCTAAAAATCCATCTGAAATCATTTTATTTTACACTTTTGGCACGCTAAAATCATGAACCAAAAATACAAGATCACGTAAGGACGCGACGTTGTATTTGTAACTGGTTTTGAGAAAAAAATTTTCCGAAAGCGGGTTCGTCAGCTGAGCGTTTGTTTACATCACAAGCACCACTATTTTTTTTTTATTTAAGTAAAGAAGAGTTATTTCAACATGACAACACATTTTCAAGCATTTTATTGCATTATTTTATCTAAATTGTGCGTTTAAAGTGGCTGACAATAATTTTGGCTAATTTTGGGTTTCGTTGTTTTCTTTGCTTTGTTTACTTTTCGCTCGTTTTCCAGTGAAACAAGATGGCGTAGAACCCGCTAAAAAAATCGACTTTTTTCACTCTCTTGTTCTTACGTGATCTTGTGTCTTTCGTTCATGACGCTAAAATGGTAAAAGAGCACAGTGTGCGGCGATTGTATTTTTATGAGAATCTGTTTTTCTTCGCAGAAATACAGTCGGAGTTTTGCCATTGCTTGCCGAGGATCGACCATTATTAGCAAAATACTTTTGTTGTTCTTTTTTTTTGGTGTTGGGTTGAACCGGGCTTGAACCCAGGCCCCGTGGAGTGGAAGCGCGCACCGAGATAGGGGCAAAATAACGAGAATCTATGCATACATACATATATTAATACGCTAACATAAATTTTGTCTCCATTCGTTTGTCGATTCGGCCGATCCGATTTCAAACCCAAGAACACCATTGGAAAGGCAATTTTCTATAGATGAGGAGAGTTTTTAAGGTTTCATAATTGGTTGAAAATTACGGCCAAAATCGTTGTTTAAAAATTTTCGCATTTGGTCGTATGGTCGTTGTTTGACAAAAACACATCGAAATTTATCGAAATTTTTTTGAGTTAGCGATTTTAATAAAGTTATCGGAATTTGGTGTTTTTGTTTGAAGATGACTGCTTGTTTATCAATGCAGACATTTTGGCGCGAATGCCGAGATAAGAAAAATCATACTTTAATGTTGATAAAATTATTTGTGATGATGTTCGGGAGCATAACAATTATTGGAATTTTAAACTTTATTATTATGGCTGCGTTTATTTATACATTCCGGATAATCCCATTTCACAGCCGCAATAAACAGAATGGCTGAATTTCTTTATTCATTCTGAACGTTTGGAATAAACTTTTTTGTTTACTTATTCTTTAGAACGTTCCTGATGATATGTTAACGTATATTTCAAACGTATTCTGTTTATTCCGGCTGTGAAATGGGATTATCCGGAATGTATAAAGAAACGCAGCCAATGTGTTTGAAATATACGTTAGCATATCATCAAGAACGTTCTAAAGAATAAGTAAACAAAAAAGTTTATTCCAAACGATTGATAGCAATATCGATAAAAATATCGTTTATATTTATAATAATATATTATATTTAAACAATATCGATAAATATATGGATTTAAATAGCGATAACTGTATAGAGAAATGTTTACATAACAATATCGACATAATATCGCTAAATAATCCAATAACTATATCGATAACAATATCGAATATTACGTCCATAACAATATCGATAAATATAACCAAAATTCCGAAACAGTCTTGAAAATGCTGACTCCCGAGGATGCTGATTTAGTATCGAGAATCCCGAAAATCACTAAAATCCTGAAATAGTTCCCAAAGTTAGGTGAGGTGAGTTGAGGTGTGGTGAATTTAAGAGTGGTTAGCCTCTATGTCCCTTTCTTTACAATTACCTTTATCTTAATCTTTCTTCTTGACTTTAATCGAAATCCTCATCCTCATATTTGTTTTCATTTTTATTACCCATTATGTTTAATTTTTTCTTCATCTACATATTCACCTTCACCTTAGTTTTTATATGAGCAAATGTCACGAGTTCTTTTTTAGTGTCACTCCCTTCTCTCAGCAGGAAAACAACGCTAAAGCATCCTTCTTGCATTTATTTCAATAAATGGAGTTCTAAAAACAAGCACAATAAAAATAAATCAAGTATTTGAACAAATGCGAATTTACTCATTTTCTTTGTCAGTAGAAAAACTCTTAATTGTTTTTTCTTAATAACTTTGGGAAGTTTTCAAATAGAGTGTTCATATTAGAGGCAATGGACGTTGGCTACAAATACAACATATCTGTAAAGTTTCAAAAATTTACCACGAATTAAAAATAAAAAATGGCAGCATGCAGAATGTCTGCCGCGGCTATTTTGTAATTTTTGAAATTTTACGATTTTTTAATTTCAATAAATGTTAAAATTAGACGGTTGAAATGTTTTTCTTGCCAGAACGAATGAATCTGCTGTAATAAAACTTGTGTGTCACCAAATGAAACAACTTTACATAAAGTAGAAGATGAATTAGAGAATGTAAAATTCCATTTATACAATTTTTATTGGCAAACTCAAAATTCATTCTAAAATTGTTATATACATAAAGAAAGTAATATATATGTGGATAAGGAATACCCTACGTCAATCTTTGATTACTTCTAAATAATATGACTTTTAAGTTAAGACGTGCGAGTAAACGTGTTAGATGACTGCGTATGGTGCTACGGGGCGTATACGTTACATACGCAAATACGGGTATACATTTGAGCACGAGGGGTTATTTCTACATTTTTATACCCGAGCGCACTTGTGCACAAGGGTATATTAATTTTGTTCACATAACGGTTGTTTGTAACAGCCAAAACGAATCGAGATAGATATAGACAAATGTATACATAAATGCTCAGAATGAATAGAGAAATCGATTAAGCCATGTCTGTCTGTCCGTCCGTCTGTCCGTCTGTCCGTCCGTCCGTGTACACGATAACTCGAGCAAACATTGAGATATCTCAACAAAATTTGGTATGTAGGTTTCTGATAATCCAAGGTAGGTTGGTATTGAAAATGGGCGAAATCGGACTATAACCACGCCCACTTCCCATATAACGGTAATTTCCAGAAATACGAAAACTGCGATATTTTAGTAACTACTGAATATAATTCACTCAAAATTGATATTTACAATAATTTTCAGACGAAAAATAAGAATATTATAAATTTTTGGAAAATGGGCGTAGCCACGCCCACTTATGGTTACATGTGTATATCTTGGTAACCGCTGCACCAATTTCTTCCAAGCTTAGCACGGTTGTTGGCCTTGGTACAGCATACTAAATGGCCGAAAATTTAAAAACTCGGACAATAACCACGCCCACATCCCATATAACGGTAATTTAGAGAAATACAAAATCTTCGATAAATCAGTAAATATTAAAGCTAACTTATTCAAAATTGATGCTCGCATCAATTCTTTACCAAGAAATACGTTTATGGTTAAATTTTGGAAAATGGGCGTGGCACCGCCCACTTATGACCACATACATATATGTATATCGGTAACCGTTCTACCAATTTGTACCAAACTCGGTATGGTTTTTGTGCTTGCCACATAACAGCAAAGCGTTGAAAATTGTTACAATCGGACTAAAATTACGGCCGCTTTTCATATAACGGTATATTTCAGAAATGCTTTAAACTTCAATATTTCGAAATTTAAGGACGCTAATTTACTCAAAATTGATACACCCCGGCTTACCATGTAGCGGTAGCTTTCGGAAATGTGAAAAACATATTTTTAATACTTGCGCCGGGTATCTAATGTTCGGCTCCGCCCGAACTTAGACTTTCTTACTTGTTTTTTTTTTATAATAGTGCAATAATTTTTGTTGTAGTTTTTTCTTTATTTGTATTCGTGGTTGTTCTTCAAGTTCACCCAGAAAAGTGGAATAAATTCGCAGATTTTCCGTAAAATATATGTACTCATAAAAGCGGGTTCTTTTTTTGGTCCCACGCCTGATAGAAGAAATAACTCAGATTTTACAAATAAAAGTAATTGGGAATTTATTTCGTATTTGTAATAGCTCATATAGCACATAGTGAATTAGGTGTAATGTAGATTTGTTGAGTACTTTATACTTAAATTTAAAAAAGAAAGAACATTTTTAGCGTGAAAATGTCCCACCCGTGACGGGGGAATAATATACTGACGTACTAATATATTTTTGGCATGCTTTAAAGTATGCCCATTTACTAAATAAAATAAAATAAAAAATAAAGATGTTCATATACATTCATACATCTTACTTATCTTTTTCCCTTAAAGGAATATTTCGATGACGAAATTCATGGAGAAATCAGCGATATTGTTAACGAGGTAAGAAAGAGTTTACGTGAAATATTAGAACAAGCCGATTGGCTGGATGAGAAGACAAGAGAACAAGCTCTGATGAAGGAGGCTGCCATCAAACCATATATTGGAAGTTATCACAACCACAATGTGACTGATCGTTTAATCAAACAAATGCAACAATTTTCCTATGTAGAAGGCAATTATGATTTGAATTTGGCGAATTTGTACAAATTCAGAACATGGCAGAAACGTTTCAATGGGCTACACCACAAGGAGTATGACAACACCACACTGCAACCATTGGAGTTGCTGATGGGTATTCAAGTCAATTCCTTCTACTACAATGTTGATAATTCTATTTGTGTTATGGCTGGCATCTTACATCCGCCTGCATATCACAAAGCTTGGCCAGCGGCACTTAAATTTGGCACTATTGGCTACTTGGTGGGGCACGAGTTTACGCATGGTTTCGATTCAGTGGGCGCGCATTACAATAGCATTGGCGAGGAAAACTACTGGTGGTCACAGAAGGCGGGCAAGGTGTTTAACGAGCGTGAGGAGTGTTTTGTGAATCAATACAATGGTTATAAGGTATATATGGAAATGATGTTTACCTACATATTTAGTCTCTTTCATTTTTGTCGATTGAACTGAATAGCTATGTTAATATTAATATTAAAATGGAATTATTTTCAGATACCTGAAATCAATCGTTTCGTCGATGGCAATCAAACTAAAGATGAAAATATCGCCGACAGTGGCGGTTTAAGGGAGTCATTCTCTGCATATCAACGACATGTAAAGGAATTGCATTTGACATCAAAGGATGAACAGATGCCCGGACTGGATCTAACGCCGGAACAGCTTTACTTTGTGGGATTTGCACAGCTTTGGTGTGCGTCATACAAGGAGAGACACTATTGGGAGGAGTTGACGAACGAGCATACAGTGGACAAATATCGCGTATTGGGCGCTGTAACGAATATTGAAGACTTCAGCAAAGCTTACAATTGCCCGGTGGGTAGTAAAATGAATCCAACAAGAAATAAATGTCGCGTATGGTAGCATTAAATAGAAAAGTTACGGGTGCATAAAATTAATTTAATTTATAAAATTTTGTATATGTATAAGTGTGTCAGTGGTCGGACTTAAAAAAAAAAATTTATGTTAGAATCTGGATAAAATGAGGTAGATTTCAAAAAAATGTGGCAGATCTCAGGTTTTGGATCAAACTTTGTACACAATTTAAAAAACTTCTGCAAGGTTTCACCTAAATTGAACACATTTTAATTAGAATTAAAAAAAAATATTTTAGTATAATAAAGTTTAAGATTTAAGTTGCTAAAAATTGCATTCAGCATTGGCAATTTATTTCCCTGACAGTGTAAAGCAGTTCATTCCATATCGAGATATTTTTCGAACATATTCTAAGAGATTTCTGCAACCTTGTGGAGTGCTGCCAGCTTTTACTTTTATCACATCACGATGTTGCGACTTGAAATTTGCCGCTTTTGACAATTCTCAAGTAAAAGTAAACAACGCCTTTGAAACTTTAGATGCACTGAAATTTGCTAATACTTTCACAAAAATCCCCGTTTTTTAACATTTTCTCTATTAACTCTTTGTATAAATCATATATTTTGCAATTTAATACAATAAAACCACGGTTCCTGTCGAAAAATTGATTACTGAACCAATTTAATATTTTACAGTTAATTTCATCCTCCTTTGTTGTTCGTGTTAAGTGTTGGAAAATTTTTGCTCTTAAAATTAATTAAGAAAATTATGTCCAGCAAAAATAAAACTACTAAAAAATGTGAATATGCGTTAAATTTCAGACCTTGTGTACCACAATGTGGCAAAGTCCGATCACTGATGTGTAAGTAACGAGACTAACAAATACAGCGAAATCAAATGCATATCGTTTTTAGAACCGGATGAAAGAGCAAATATTTGGTGCGAATGAACGCTTATGCAAATAAATGATCACAACTTTGCTTAAGCTGCAGCAACCGATGAAGTTAAGATAAACTGCCTGTTAAAGTATACTTATGTGTGTATAAAAAATAAAAAGTTGTTGTTTACATTTAAAAACAAGTTTGGGTCGATCTTTGTTTATTTATTTTAACATTCTACACAAGCTTAAAAAACAACAGATTCTTTCCAAGATCTGTTCAATAATAATTATAATTTAGCGCTTACAATTTTGCGAAGTGTTTGGCCGGGCTTTTCCTTCAAATGTAACTGGAATGTAATGTTCGATCAAAATTCGATTAAGTTTCTCTTTATTGAATGCTTATAAAATCAGCAAGAGACCAACCAGTTCACCCCTTTTTTGGAATTTTTATATGTTTATATTAAATTTTTTAGTGCAAAGTGCGGAAAAGTGCAATCTATATATACTACTAGCGGAACCCTGCCACGCTTTTCTGTGGCACACCTATTTTCATTTCAGCATGTGGGATCATTCCCGAAATATTAATCGCGTTCAAAAATTCCATTAGATAATTAAGTGCTTCATCTTTTTCCACAACGGTGTTATCGACGTGTATATTATGTGTATAGCATTATTGAGTTGATAGACACCCTTAATCTTCGCGGCAAGAATAACTCATTCACCGAGCCAATCGTGATGCCAATAATTAATTTGAATATTAAGGAAGCATTCTTTCGATCAGCTCTCCCTTCGATGTTTCTAAGTTATAAAAGTTATGAGGCAATGAAATTCGTCCTGATCAGTGTTGCCACAAAGATTTTTAATTTTTTACCAAACCAATTATATTCAACAATTTTTTTTTAAATAAAATAAAAAATTATTGTTGCTTGTCCACAATAGTTTTTCATATAAAAAACGGTCTCGAGCACAATAAAAATTGTGGAATATAATTGTTTTAAGGCCATAAAATAACTAATATCCTCTAAAATAAATTACCAAACTCAGAAAAAAATTACCAAATTTTTATGAGCATAATATTCTAAACAAATTGGAAATTATTTTGCAACGTATGTATTTAGATAATTATTTTGGCGACGACTGAACTACACCACGTCTGGGATTGTGGGCAGCTTAGATCTATTTATATTTTTTGACCGAAAAATGAGTTCTTCTTCTTCTTTTATGACAAACTCATAAAAATTCCTGATGTCGCTGCCGCGTTCAAAAAATGCCTATCACCATCGACAGAGCGTTTAGATAACGAACCTTTTCAATGTGTTCCGACTATAACGATTCCCAAATATTTTTAAAACATAAAACAAAAAAAAATCATTCAGAGATTTACAAACATTTAAAAGGTGTTTAATAGTTCACTTCCATCAAGCCTTAACTGCAGTTTATGCCTATTGGAAAAAGGCAGATTACAACTCGAAGGAGGTAGTTGCTCTTATTAGGTACAAGCAAATGAAAGGAAAATAACAAAAAGTCCTATGAAGTTATTTTCTTTTACCATTGGTTTCGGCAGGTAAAAATTATCCAAACCCTGATTTTTGGGACTGTAGGGACTGTGAATGAGCCGCCATATTGGGAAAAATGGGTTGTTTCCTTAAATTACTATATTGCAAACTCATACTAAAAGTTGTCAAGGCAAATTGTTACATTAAAGAGCGCTTTAAATTTTTGGCTCTCTTAAGGTGTAGTACATAAGCAATTTTTTTTTGTTTTGTGCAATTGTAAGAAGGCTCAAAGTTATAAATATTTATAAGTAATAAGTTAGTATTAGAAACTTAAAAGAAGAGACTAACGTTGAAAAAAAATTAACAAATTGAAAAAAAAAATTACCAAATTAACAAACTCGTTCTAAAAAGAAAACAAATTACCAGTTTTGGTAAAAAATTACCAAAGTGGCAACGCGGATCTTGATCTCTCATCGACTTTCAAGAGCCACTAAATGTCGCGAGAATACCTCGGCTGGACACACATATTCGAACTGCAATCTATGTTCGTGTTGCCACAATGTTGAATATTTCAGGGAAGCACTTATCTCGTCTGCTGGTGGCGATCGCGAAATTACAGGAATTGATTGCGTAAAATCTCCTGCGAGCAATGCACTCCCAATTGGTTAAACTTTTCTACGCAAATATCGCAACGATCGATCAAGAAATTTTTTATGTGCCATCATACACTCATACCAAACAATGGCCCGTAGTCATAGTCAAAATAAAGTCGACTTTAAAGTTAGTTGCAGCTTTTTGACATAATTTTCAATGGGATATCTGTCAAAAAAGCTGCAACTAACTTTAAAGTCGACTTTATTTTGACTATGACTACGGGCCATTGATTTTACATTTTGGTAATAATTTTCCCATATCTGATGTTCTGGAAATATTGCATGTGAGCAGTGCTTCAACTTGATAACGATGCTGCAGCTATTCCAGACGAAGCGAGAGCTAAGGCTATGCACGTGAAGCCAAGTCCTTTTCCACTTGGTCTCTCCATTGCAGTGAGGGCCTCCCTCTTCCTCTGCTACAATTACCGGATTGCTAATTGAATAGTTTCAAATCTGGAACGCCGGTGCCCAATAGAACGACATAGCCAGCCCATCGGAGCCGCTGTATTTTGATTTGCTGCACTATGTTCATTTCGTTGTAAAGTTCATTAAGCTCATCGCTCCATCGTCTGCGGTACTCGCCGTCGCCAACGCGTAGAGACCTATAAATCTTCCGTAAGGGCTCGAATACTCCAAAAGCCGCCTGATCGAATGTTGTTATTGTTTAAGTTTCTGCGCCATACACCAGCTCAGGCATAATGAGTAACTTATAGAGTGTGGTTTTTGTATGTTGAGAGAGAACTTTTCTTCCGAATTGCCTATTCAGTCCAAAATAGCACTTGTTGTCCAGAGTGGTTCTGCTTTGGATTGCGATGCCGATATAATTTTCGGTGTTATGGTGGTTCACAAGTAATCGAAATTCTTTCCTCTTTCTTCTTATTTGGCTCTGTAACCGCCTTCTCTTCCTCTGCTACCACCAGTGGGTTCCGAGTTAAATACTTTCAGAGCTGGAGCGTCGGTGCCCATTCGAACAACATGACCGCTGTATTTTAATTCGCTGCACTATGTCCATGTCGTTGTTAAGCTCGTCGTTCCATCGTCTGCGGTACTCGCCGTCGCCAACGCGTAAAGGCCCGTAAATCTTCCGTAAAATATTTCTCTCGAATACTCCAAGAGCCGCCTCATCGGATGTTGTCATTGTCCATGCTTCTGCGCCATATACCAGCACGGGCATGATGAGTGACTTTTAGAGTGTGGTTTTCTTACGTCGAGAGAGGACTTTACTCCTGAATTGCCTACTCAGTCCAAAGTAGCACTTGTTGGCAAGAGTGATTCTGCGTTGGATTTCCATGCTGACATTATTATCGGTGTTAATACTGGTTTCCAAGTAAACGAAATTCTCCACTTTCTCCAAATTATAACTGTCAACAGTGACGTGGGTGCCAAAGCGCGAATGTGATGACTGTTTAATATAGTATCTTATTTTCTGGCCAATTTTCGTTGTATATTTTATTCATTTTGATTATTAATAAAAAGTGCTGACCGTTTGTTTCTTGACAGGAGATATTTCGCCTTGCCCTCGTTTACCACCAGACCCATTTTCTTTGCTTCCTTATCCAACTTGGAAAAGGCAGAACGGACTCCGGAGATAAATTAAACGCCCCTGTAAAAAATTCTACCTGTGTGGTTCAGTTCTGCAACTCTTATTATCTTAACATTTGCATTATGCGATCATAAATGCCTTTTTGCTCACGCTTTAACTTGGAAATGTTTGATTAGGCATATAATTGGAGATCACAATAATAACCATAATCTTCATAATATTATCTAAAAACCTGAAGCAGCTCATCTAATTTAGAAAAAAAGTTTATGGAAAATGTGAGTATGTTAGGTAGATGGGTATTTCACTAAGGTAGAATCTTAGACATTTAAAGTCGGAAAACCTCAACGCTCAAGCAGGCGCATTATCGTAGTAGGCTATGGCGACCCCAAATTAAATTGTTTATGATTAAAAGTTAACTGTTTCATATTGTTAGGGAATGGTGATAACAAATTAAATTTTCATTAAGGACATTTTAAACAGCTTTCATGGGATATTTTTACGTTAAGCTTTTTATTATTTTTACATTTGTATGAGTCGTTTTTTATTAATTTTT